CACATTAATAAATACTAAATGCATTCAAACTTTTATTAAATATCAAATGTATTCAACTCACAAGTCAAATATAAAAAAGTTGCTGGACAAGTACAAAAAAAATGTGAACGACTCAATCGCTGAGCTAATGATTTCATTCAACTATGATGGATTATTTTTATACATTAACACAAAGTTGTTGAAATCTTTATGTTTACGTGTTTTTTATTTCCAATGACATGATTAGTTCAGCTCTGGGGTCGGCCGCTTACCTCAGCAACGGTATGTGGTCACCAGCGAAGTTTGTTGACACATATTGGAGTATACGTCTCCATTAATTCTGACTTTCTTTCTTTTCCCAAATAAACTGCTTCTTTCGTTATTAACAGAACATAAATGATGTATGACGCATAAAAGCTAAATAAAAAATTCACGTCACGTCGCCTCTGTTAGCAGATTTAAGTTCCCGTGGATAATAGTGTTAAATAAACATTAAAACTTTAACATTCCGAGATAGGTCTATTTCTTACACTCGAATCAAATGCGGAGAGTTTTTAATTTAATGCTAAATAATAAGTTGATAATATAAATATACTTTTATTATTAACTCTTCAACTTGTAGCAGTATAAAAATTGACTGAAGACTATTTTGATTTATTTTTATTTATATTTACAGGTTTTATCTCGTCTAGTTTTTTCCTATTATTGTTCATGCATAGCTTGCTCCTCGTATTGTTCATACCCAGCTGAAGGCAACTATTTCAATATCGACTTAGGATAGTTTTGTAAAAGTAACAGCCCACATATATGTTAAATTCCAAATGCTGGGCAAATGCCTCCTCTGCACAGTGGGTATTCCTACATAATCTGTCATGAGACGCGATCACACATTAGCAGGCCTCACATGCTTGTATCTTTAAAATATCTTTGTTTTTTATTTCCTAAACTTGAGGGCCCCAACGCAATTATACACGTCGGTACTTGAAATATCGGTTAACAATTTCATTGGTGACGTCTCTGGGATTAGAAATCAGTTTGCTCCGAGTGTTTTAAGACTTAAAAGAAAATGCTCGGATAATGATAAAAACTCTTAAATAAAAAAAAAACATTTTAAATTAAACACTTAAACATCTCTTAACTCTTTTCATTGAAATGCAATCACAAAATCTTTTAACGTAAACATTTCTTTTAATTACGAAAAACTGATATTAATGTTAAATAAAGCTAAGTATTGATTTAAGTATTTTATTTTATCATTGTTACCACCAACTTGGGACATAAGTGCAATAAAACAATCGTTCCAAGATATTAAGCGTACACTACCTCGTGTTGGCTGCGACATCTTTTGTTGGCGTAACATCACTTTATCTCGTGACGGGACGTCGATAAGTGTTAAACGTCGGGAAGTAAAAACCAGAACTAAATGCTCTAACATCCGTAAAACAATAAAATATAGGTATATAGTATCAGCCTATGTAAGTATGCCCCATTGCTGGACAAAGGCCTCCATAGCTCATAGGGTGTTAGGGCGGCCCCACTGCGGATTAGCGGACTTCACATATGTTCGAAATATTTTTGTTGCATTTCGAAAATAAGCAGCTTTTCGTGATATTTTACTTCACCGCCGAGTCCGTGATAGGTCACCATTAATAAATTGTAAATTTTTGTTCATGGATGAACAAAAACTATCGGCGCTGCGGGATTTGAACTAGTCCTCTGATTTCGCGCCCAGACGCTTTACCAACTAAGCTAAGCGGCGGATGGTCTAACGGCATGAAAGTCTAGACATGTATCTTAATTTTTTTCAATTGCATTTTTAACCATGCTTATCAAATTTAATCAACAATTTCAATGGTGCCAGCACCGTGAATTGATCTCGGGTTGCTCGAGTATATTGAGTCAAAAGCGACCACCCGGACACTGAGCTATCGCGGCAAAAAAGTGTTATTCGACAGTATTGCGTAAGTTCTTAAATTACAACGAACTGTGGAAAGTCATCAACGGAGAGAAGTCCGTGGAGGGTCGCCCTCGAAGTGTATCTGGAGTCAGCCGCTATAAATAAACTTTATCTGGCGATATAGTATCGAAGGCCGCCCGTCTTGACTCGATCACTCCTCCGCTTGCGTGGAGTCACACCCCAGGCGAGCGTTGCGTGCGAGATACTACGAGATAAGACGCCGTAAGCGGTAACCGAAAGCGTCCGAGTGTTTGTCAGTTTGTCGTACGGGAAATTATTATAATTTTCACCAACCGAAATATTTGTTCGTAAAATATTGTATACAAATATTCTTAGTCCTTCAGTCACCACCACCTCTGGACAATAACAACACTGTGCTGCCGAAGAACATTAAATTATTTTAAAAAGCTGACTGTTGTATGGCCATGATACTTCCTCAGTCAAGCTGGCCTGTTCGTACATCAGGATTACAAAAGTCGTAGCGTTTTTGTTGTACCCGCAAAATGTAGTGTTCTAATTTAAGTCATAAATTCTTCTTATTTGAACACAATCGGAAATCTTTAAATTATTTGTCAAAATTATTTATTTTATAAATAAATTGACTATTGTACAAATACGACTAACTGTTTGCATTTATTGAATATGATAATAAAATATGTGTTTAACTTCTTAACACTTTTTCCTAATAATTGATTTCTTATAATATCTGGTAATAACATATACCAATTGTGAACACTAGTGACCGATAAAGAAGTTTATAATCTTAATCTTCTTGATACAAGATGACGTTGCATAATTTGAAAGCGAAATATAATAAATGATCAACACGTGTTGTCTATATGGCAGAGATTAAGTTGCACTTTGTTATTAACCTATTAAGATATTCTGCATTTTTCGGGCATTTTCAATAATTTCTACTTTTACAATATCTCACAATAATATTAGATGCCCCAATCGATCTTTCTTTATTTTTTTAGCTACAATAACTTTATCGTAAAGTTTTTGACTAACTACCGGATTGACGCGCAAGTAAAGTCGCGCCTCAATTTGGTACTTTATTTATATTTAAGTGACGAAATTAGAATACATTATTAATGAGTAAAAAAACCGATCTATTTTTATTAAAAACAAAGTCCGTTAATTGAGAAAATGAAGATAAGCATGCAAAGATAACCACAAGCATACCTAAAAGTTTTCGTTTGGATTTAAAACAATTTATTTATTTAAATCTCGATGACAAATTAAAAACGACAGTCATGATACTTATAAACAAAATAAAAAGAAAGTAACATCCTTGTCTATTTCCCACAACTGGGAAAAGCCAATATATCGGCTCCTCTTTACATAGAGTATTAGGGCATAGTCCATCAGCGACCCCAAATATACATGTTTTCACAATGTTTTCCCAAACCGCTGAGCCTGTGATAAGTCAGCACTTAAAATTAACAAATTTTGTTAGTGCTAGTACCGGGATTTGAAATAAGGTTGCTCAAGTATATTGAATTCAAAGTTAGCGCCCGTACTGAGCTATCACGGCTGTGTTATAATTTTTGTTCTATAAAGAGAAGAAAATTATAAATCTGTACTATACTTTCAACTGACTGTTTTAAACACTGTACAGGTAATAAATAGATTTTCTTTTCTTATTACATAGACCCTTAATAGTTTATTAGACGTTGTGGCTTTACACTTAATTAGTATATTCTATTTATTTATGTATCTACTTTTATACAAAATTGATACGTGCAAAGTATCGGATCGAAGCAGAGTCAAAATTGTATTTTTTAATATTGCGTTTCGTCAAACATATAATAGTTAAAAATAAAAGAAAAACATTCAAGATTTAAAAACGGAAAGTTCATCAACGTGTGCGTGTGCGTGTGTGTATACCTGAGTCAAACTCACGCCCGGTTTCTGAAACACTGATCATCGTAGATGTTACCTAATTAGCTGTCAAATGGCTTTTCAAATGTCATTTGAGTTGCCAAAAGGATGGTTAAACTCTTTGAATTGATCATACTGATCATTAAGAAGATCATTCTGGTCAATTCAGAGAGTTAAACCATCCTTTTGGCAACTAAAATGAAAATTTAAAAGCCATTTGACAGCTGATTAGTTGACATCTACGATGATCAGTGTTTCAGAAACCGGGCGTTAGTGAGTAATATATATTGAACAGACACGTGCTTTGGTTTAACGCAAACGTAAGCAGATATCTCCTTGTACATTTCGAACATCGTATTGTATACATAATTGCGGATAAATCTTTTATTCCTTGTAATTTGTGTCATTCTGACAAACGAATGACTCACCAACATATGTAAGGACGCGGAGTTCAATGAATCCACAATTTTGTAATTACTGAATAGTCGATTATAATAACTCATCGTTTATATGCATAATTATGTAAACTGTAACAAAACTTCATTTACCTTATATTACACAGACATATTCACCTGATATTATGCGATAACCGCCCTTGGGAGTCTTTATGAAGCTTTACAATCAATAGTAGATACACAACAACATTTGAGAGTAATTTTAAACAAAGGCCAACAAATTCAACAGTAACAAATAAAATGAGATATTCTATATGCCATTAATGAGAAAGTAAAATGCTTATACTACACGCATCATCCATGTACCGCAAAATATCTTGTGTCTTTAAGTAATAGCATAATCAATCATTAATTTATTACTGATATTAAGATTTTTTTCAAGGTGCCAAAATATCAAATAATACTTATATTTTTAGAGTCGTATTTTATGACACTTTTAATATTTAAATTCTAAATTTGTTAGTAACCATTGCAAGATATTTAAAAAAAATATATTACAGTAAATATAAAGTTTTAACAGTTGAAAAGGAAGTCGAGATGTATCAATAATAAATAACTAAAAATACGTCATTCGACGAACATAAGCGAATGTGTTATGATGTAGCTATTGCTAATCTGATGGGCCTGGCCAGATAGGGGTTATATTTAAGGAGATCGGCAGCCCACTATACGCAGTTGACGCGCCGTCTCAGTGTAAGACGCATGATGTCCCGGGAAGAGCAACCATGTTTGTCCTTCGGAAAATCGTCGTCGACGGATTTATAATCTGTGCCCGTGAGTGTGATATTTTTTTAATTTACAGTTGCTAATTTTACATGTATTTCTTTATAAAATAAACATTGTAATTATTACTATGTTTAACGCTTTTCTGGATTTGTTTTTGCTCTAATAATTTTATGATAATTATGGTTAATACCGATTTTAACTCTAAATTACATAATTCTTGTAGATGAAAATTAAATTTATTTGAAGTAATAGATGTTTGTATAATTATTAATCACTATTTCGTTATTAAAAAAAAAGATTACATTTTTTTAAATAACTTTTAATATTCTAATATATTTAAAGTAATGTAATTAAAGTATGTTCATGGTAATAATGAGAGTATTATTGCCTAGAAATATATGTTCAAAACAAATCTTTCACAGCAGTGCGTTAAATCCTGTCTTTAATTTCGCATCGGAGTTTAAAGATTGTAAGACCTGATTATTATTTTCTTTTTTGCTGTGATTGAGTGTAGCCTATGCTTTAGTATGTATGAGCTGGCTAGTCCAGTTAATGCAAATGTCATCCCATCGGTGTGGGTATGGGCCAGCTTAAACATCAGATAACGTTATATATTATAATTAGCCGCTTTCCCTCATATAATAAACATATATTATAGCTTACATGTACGTTATAAGATATATATCCCCTGTTAAATGTTAAAAGACCTCAGAGATTTTGAAAGAACAGTTCTCATGGGTGTTGTTAATATTAAGTATTATTAAATAGTTCATTGAACCAGAACCAAAACACGTGGACAACTTTCACGACCGTAAATCACTGACAAGATTGTACGGTTAACTGGACGAAATGGATAATTATCTTCGTTTACTTTGTACATTACGAAGTACTCAATTATACACGTCGTACTGCAGGAGCAGTATATTCTGCACATGAGTTCTCAGAGCATAATACACTTCGCGGCCTCAGTGCAAATTGGATACCTCACATATCTTCTATCTTTTCATTACTTTTTTAAATATGCTGCAAAAACATATTACATTTTTTATGTGAGAAAGTGGCAAACGAGCTGGCGGTTGTGAAAGTGGCAAACACTCGTATGGTTGCAAATCCGTTGCCATCTTTAAATAATGTGGGCCCCGGCTACCTCACTCACCAGAAGAAACGCAGAAGTGTAACACTTCTACTTTACGCCAGTCTTCTGTGAAGTCGTGGTACTTACCCGGGCGGACCTGCCCATTCGTGCAACAGTGTTGCGTGTCCCTACCATCGCTAATATTATGTTTGACTACCATAAAATAATTAATAATTGTTTGACTACCATTAAATAATAAATAAATAAATCTGTCAACTCTGTCGATGCATAGTTTAATTCTTACATTTCGACCATCGGAGTTTCATATCGCCTTCTGTTTTGTTCTCAGTTATCTTCAGCATCTACGCCACGCACTACCTGTGGGTGCCATTCCACCGTGGCTTCTTCTGCGGCGACGAGAGCCTCATGTTTCCTTACAGGAGCGACACCGTCTCGACGACAACGCTGAGGCTGGTCGGCCTAGGTCTCCCAATACTAACGGTGTGAAAATGTGAAAATTATGTGAAAAGCTAGCAGCCGATTCACCTAGTAGTAAGTGATTACAGCCGCCCATCGACACCTACAACGGGTCGCAGATGCATTTCAAACCATTAGAAATAGTATGCTCCATTTGTCACTAAACAGATGAAACTCGAAAGTGTATCGCTTCCACTTCACGCCTGTCTTCTGTAAGGGCTTTCGTGGGACTTACGAGGAGCATATCACGAATGAGCACTAGAACATTTATTTTTAAATTAAAATGTGAAAATTGAAATCTTCAATCAAAAAATCGGCTTGATTGCAAAAAACGAACTGACTAGATAGGAATAATGAAACAGGTACTGGCAAATTTTAATGTATGTTGTTTCCGAACAGTTCTTGATCTGCGAGTGGGTGGTACTGCGGAAGGAGGGTACCAATCGGCTTTGCCTGAACATCCCTGTGCCCACGTGGTTGCGGGGCTTCTACTGCGCCGCAACCTCCTTCGCTCTGGGCACCTGCTTCGTGGAGCTCACCACGAACATAGCCAAGACTGTCATCGGCAGGCCCCGGCCACATTTCCTCGATGTACGTAGAGAAAGTGACACATATTTCATCACTTTATATATATATATAAAGTGATGAAATATGTCTGTCTGTCCTTATGTAAGATAGATTATCTTTAAAACTATGCAACGGATCTTCATCACTTTATATATATATATATATATATAAGACGACCGTTTATATATATATATATATATATATAGTATTAAACAGTCGTCCCGCTGTCTGTCTGTCCTTATGTAAGATAGATTATCTTTAAAACTATGCAACGGATCTTGATGCGGTTTTTTTACTATATGGAGTGATTCAAGAGGAAGGTTTATATGTATAATACATTGCACCTGTGCGAAGGAGTGGCTGGTCGCTAGTAGCTAACAATTCACAATACTTGGTTAAGATATCATTTGCGTGGAATACTTCTAATTTCGAATTACAAAATAAGCTACAAAGTAACTTAATTTTTTTTACAAAATCTGTTATTTAATTTGTTTTAAAAAAATTTTGAATTATTTTGTTCAATTACAGTTTTCGGTATAAAGCATTCTCATCTGTCTCTCTCTCTTTCTCACACTGGACGTTTTCTCCTTTTTTATATATTTGAAAAATCACCTTAAATAAACTACCATTATCTGTAACTATTAAGAAATAAAATTTGGGGCTCTACATCCACAAGACTTGTAGAGCGTGTAGAGCCCGTATAGTTAGAAAATATACGTAACATGGTTTGACATTCTTAAACTTGCAAAGCTCAAACTACAAGATTATGTAATAGGAACTGATAGGTCGCTTCCTCTCTGAGCAGACAGATCTAACCTTTTGTTAGTGGTACATTGAACTACGTGCTATATTATCTTTGATCCAGATAATGCTACAAGTTACTAGATCTTATGGCCTTTATTCGGTGAATGGTGGCTGGCTTGACCTAATTTCCTAAATTTGAAACCTTATACACAAATAACTCGCTAAGTCTTGCTATAGTTTCCCACATCACCGCGATGAGTCACCGAATGGTAATATAACTTCACTTTTAACAAATTATAAGTACACAGCATTATCATACATTATTTAAAGTAAAGACGTTTTATTTTTGTATTTGTCGTCAATAACAATTTATTTTACGACAATGGTATTTTAATCATTAAATTTGATGAAGAATTATGGAAGTCATGGCATACCGACTAAAAACACCATTGTGATATATGTAAATAAATAAATAAATAAACATTTTAGGACACATTTTTACACAACATTCTCTAGTCCCAAACTAAGCAAAGCTTGTACTATGGGTACTAGATAACTGATAAACAAACTTTAACATACTTTTCTTTTGTAAATAAATACATATTATAGATATATAAACACCCAGACACTAGAAAAACACTATGTTCATCACACAATATTTTTCCAGTAGTGGGGATCGAACCCACACCCTCTGGCGCAGAAGGTAGGTACACTACCGACTGCGCCATTCGGGTCGTCAAATTTATATCACAATGGTGTTATTTCCTATTATTTATAATAACCAGTGGATTAAGTTTTAGCCCGCCGAAATCCATCTATTTTTGACCAATTCTGTATAATCCATGTTATAAAACATTGATGTACAACCGATGACCGTTAACCTAAATTGTTTCGATATTATGTGATTGTTAAAATTATTTAATTAATTGTTTAATTAATTAATAAATTATTTAATTAATTGTTAAAATTAATTATTAAATTTTGTTGTTATCAACTTATCATTTAAACACTCAATGTAACTGTCGTATTTGTTACTAGTTAAACAAATTGATTCATGAAAAATCTTGCTTACAATTTTCTATGTAAATAACGTAATCTTCAAACTCCCCTCTGTTATCAATTGATCTCTTCCGTGCTAATTCGATTAGAAAATTGGTCATTCGAGATAAAACAAATGCGATTAATTTTAGATTACCAACAGGTAGAGTTTTCACGTTATCGTTATCGATGAAATCTTTTCCTAGCAACAATTATATACCGATAACGGTTTTCCTTGTCGTGTTACATACCATAGTTATATGCTTTAGTGGATTGTCTTAAAATGATTATGATTCATAATTCATAAGAATTTACCGATAACGTTAATTTTTTCCCAATTTTATTCGTGTTACATACCATAGTTATATGCTTTCGTGGATTGTCTTAAAATTCGTTTTATGATTCTAATCGGCTCCAGCGACCATCAAGTTTTGGACAGCCCACTTCCACTTTGCCCGATTTGGAATTTATTTAAAAATGGATGCGGGCTGCCCAGGACCGGGAGTTGGCGCAATTTTATGGGGGAATTGTTTTTCAGCAGTGGACATTATTTATACAAATATTCAATGGTGTTTTTTATTTCAATTTAATTTTAAATTTTATCAAAATTTAAATCGCGATATTGTAAATATGTCGAACGGGGTTTAATGAATTATTTACTTGATGTCCTCGAAGAGGACAAGCAAAGCAGATCAAGTGTCTCGGTCACAATAACTGATCATCTCAAATGTTTATTAATAACCGAACGCAATCGAACGTTGCTACATTAAGATAAGCTAATGATGCAGAAATTGTTATCTGCTTGTTTGATATATACGTATAGGATAAATCTTTGCTCGATTAGTTAACGTAAAGTCATTGCTTGAAAGGTAGAAAACATTTAGTCGAACATATTTTTACATTTGAAATTATTTATTAAATAAATAGGACAGTTTAATTTCTGCCATACCTAGGTTACATTGAATGGACCCGTATGACGTAAAACCCCCCTTTATGGTAGCCCCTGCCTATTATTATTTATAACTAGCGACTCGCCTCGGCTTCTCACGGGTGTAACGCATACGAGTGCAATACATATAAACCTTCCTCTTGAATCACTCTATTTAGTAAAAACAAACCGCATCGAGATCCGTTGCGTAGTTTTAAAGATCTAAGCGACATAGGGACAGACATACAGCGGAACGACTTTGTTTTATACTATGTAGTGATGCACAGCAAAGAGTCGTTTACATTTCAAGTGAGATTTTACCACAGTCACTCACTTGTTTTGCCTTCCCGGAACCCCTCTAACACGTAACTAACACGTAAACTTTATGGTATGGTATTAAAGTTCAAATTGACTTTTAAGTATTATTACGAATCTTCTGTACGGGAATATAGAAAAGTGTTGTTTTTAGACTTTCTCAGGCAATTTTTTAAATCTTTCTCTCCGTAAGAACCACTACTTCAAAGAATATTATAAAAAAATAATTAGCGAAATCGGTCCAGCCGTTCGCGCGCGATGGCGTGACCAAGGCAAATAGGAATTCATTTTTATATATATAGATTTTCATTAAAACTCCAAACTTATTTTCTGATAATGTAGATGCGACAAATTTGGCAGTTCCTCATACGAACTAAGAAAGTTCATACAGTGTGAGAGTTTTTTTTGATAACACATACGACTCTATGGATTTTTTTTGTTAGCTGAAAACGGACCAGTGCTAACCTTTCGAGCCTGCTATCCAATTTAAGAACTCAAATGCCAGACAATCTCTTAATCTCATTATCTGGCATATAAGCGCCATATTGTGCGCTTGACACCCAGAAGAGACAAACAATTTCTGAGATCCAGATGTAACTCTTTCAATTTGTACTACACTGATTTCATACTTGAGAAAGTTTGGTGATAAAATTGTCACAAATAACATAAATAAAACTAATAAAGCCAACTTTTATATATCTAAACTATAAGCTAGGTATTGTCTTTAACGAGATCGCCGTAAATATACCTTTCTTCATCAGCTCTGCCAACCTTCGGTAGACTGCAGCATGCCAGCGTGGCGGGGACGGTACATCCAGCCGGATGAATACACATGCACTGGAACCAACACGGAGAAGTTCTCCGACATGTACATGTCCTTCCTGAGCGGGCACTCGGCGCTCTCTGCCTACTCTAATCAATTCAAAGAGTTTAACCATCCTTCTGGCAACTCAAATGACATTTGACAGCTGATTAGGCAATTTGTACGATGATCAGTGTTTCAGAAACCGGGCATTACTGTTTAAGTTACCAGCAAAATTTAATAAAAATAAAATTTTATATATATGTTAGGGATATTTGAAGTCGGTTTGATAATGTCTTGGAGGTAACGCATCTGCAACCTGATTTGCAAATGTCCATGGGCGATGGATATCATTTAACATCAGTTTGCCACCTTCTCACATCTCTGATTAATTACAATAAAATAACAAAAAGACGGGAAAAGGATATAAATAATAAAAATAATAAAATTATGAAAGCACCATATACATTCTTTATTGAGAACTGTAACGGGCGAATTTGATTGAGAATATGATGCCATCTACAAAAAATAAGCGGTTTAGCGGGCAGCTTCAAAGGTGTTATTTTTGTGTTACAGTGATGCGCGCGCAAAATTTCACTCTCATCATTTTTTTCGACCCTAATGGCATAGTGGATAGTGTACCTGCCTCTTGCGCCAGAGGGTGTGTGTTCGATCCCCACTACTGGAAAAATATTTTGTGATGAACTTAGTGTTTTTATAGTGTCTTGGTGTTTATATATCTATAATATGTATCTATTTTACATAAGAAAAGTATGTTTACCAGTTCTCTAGTACCCAAAGTACGAGCGTTGCTTAGTTTGGGACTAGAGAACGTCGTGTAAAAATGTGTTCTAAGATTTTTCATAACGCGCCTAAAGAAGTATAACTTAAAATATATGTATAATAAATAATATTTAGGACACATTCTTTTTACACAACATTCTCTAGTCCCAAACTAGGCAACGCTTGTACTATGGGTACTAGAAAACTGATAGACATACTTAAACATACTAAATAAATACACATTATACATATATAAACACCCAGACACTAGAAAAATACTATGATCATCACACAATATTTTTCCAGTAGTGGGGATTGAACCCACAGTAGTGGGGATTGAACCCACTTTGAATCTTTTCTGCTAGCTGTACTTGGAGAGGCGGCTGGTGTGGCGCGGGACCAGGGTGCTGCGCCACTCGCTGCAGTTCGGCGCGGTGATGCTGAGCTGGTTCACGGCCCTCTCGCGCGTCTCCGACTACAAGCACCATTGGAGCGACGTCCTCGCCGGCTACTTCCTAGGGCTCGCGATCGCCGTCCTAGTGGTGAGTGATGTATTGGTGGCAGTTTTCTCGAGGGGCCGTGCTGGTGGTGAGTGTGTAATGTGTGTGAACGGCTAACGTGGCCGGATGAATATAAAAACCGGCCAAGCGCGAGACGGGCTCGCGCACGAAGGGTTCCGTACGTAGCTATAAAAATGGCAAAAAAAATCATGTCTGTTGGACGGGAGGGCCACTTAAATATTTTTTATTCGGTTTTTTATTATGTGTAGTTATAGCGGCAACAGTCCATAAAATACATCGTCTGTGAAAATTTCAACTGTCTAACTGCCACGGTCCATGAGATACAGCCTGCTGACAAATTGACGGACAGACAGACAGACAGACCGACAGCGGAGTCTTAGTAATAGGGTCCTAATAATACACGCTAATAATAAACCCTAATACCCTCTGTTAACAGGATGCCTTCACCCACTATTGGGGCATTTATAGGCTTTATTTCGTTAACCGCCGAACACATTGTAAACCAGTTTGTTTCTGTAAGCAATAAGGTGGCCAGCAAACTCTCGGTGCACCTGATGTTAAATGATAACCGCTACCCATTGATATTTGCACCGCCTAAACGTAGGGTCGAAGATGCGTAAGCTTTCATTGAGAATATGATGCCATCTATAAAAAAGTAGGCAGTTTAGCGGGCATCTTCAAAGGTGTTATTTTTGTGTTACAGTGATGCGCATAATTTTTTTCGACCCGAATGGCGTAGTGGGTAGTTTACCTGCCTCTTTCTCCAGAGGGTGTGGGTTCGATCCCCACTACTGGAAAAATATTTTGTGATGAACGTAGTGCTTTTCTAGTGTCTGGGTAAGAAAAGTATGTTTACCAGTTCTCTAGTACCCATAGTACGAGCTTGTATCTTGTATCTTGTATTAACTGATGTTTTTGCTTTCAGTCCCGAGACTATTAAAGCTTCATCTGACGCAGAACTGGTGGGCTAGCCAGAACCCACGGGTTTGGGCCCTCCGCTGTGGGTGGGGCCGCGCATGTGTTCATGCGTGCGTTTAACTACGACTAGTACTAGTTCGAGCGTTGCTTAGTTTGGGACTAGAGAACGTTGTGTAAAAATGTACCGTACTCATCAAACGAAACGCAGAAGTATATCACTTCCACTTCGCCCGGTCTTCTGTGAGGTCATGCTACTTCCACGGACAGTGCAACAACGAAGACTGTTGCGTTTGTCTGTCCGTCTGTTTGTACTGTCTACAATAGTTAAAAACAAAAGTCATACTAATTGTTATCAACTATTACAGTGGACATGGGGCACGGATATTATTCCTCAGAAGAAGAAGCACTCTGCACTCACTCAACACGATGTTACCTTGCTGACGCATCAACAGACTTTATCCTTATAACGAGCAATTTGTGTGACGTATAAATTTATCCAAGTTTGTCCAAAACATGTGGATGGTCCAAACGTCTTGCCGCGACAGAGATTATAATCATAAGTATTTATTTTAAATAGATCATCTAATTTTAACTCCACTAGGTTAAGTTCAAGTTCAGTTAGGTGTAAGTTTGTAGATGTTATTATAAATATAATAACAGTTTTGCGTTATATTAACGTGAAAATATACATTTATATTATTTTTAATCATCAGTACTCCTTATTCATCAATTTAATTTTAAGCGCCTGTCAAAATTATAAATGCATATGTCAGAGATAGAGTAATGAACGTAAAAGAAAAATATTGCAACGATTTGTAATATTTAATAATTGTAAATAATAGGACATCGTAATCCACTACTATCATTCTTAGATATATAGGATTCCAGAAAAAAACCTTATTATTATTGTGTAATGTCTAAAAATTCCTGTTAAAATTAACATTTTAAAAATTTAAAAACTGGTTTATTTAATTTTATAGCATAGTGCACATAATGTGTTAGTTTAGCAAATGATGTGATAATACTTGTATATAATAATACTTTGTCTCAGGAAAGGAAATAAAATAAAGCGTATTACAATAACCCTTGTTTATTTTTTGCTGTGATTCTCGTTAAAGTATAATTTTCCGTAGAAATTTTATGAAAAAAAGGACGTGAATTTAGAGACAGTAGAAACACTCATTTTAAAATCGATGATACAGAAGTAAATGAAATTTATTGACGAATCGGTACGGCATGACTTTCATCAGCTGATTTTAATTAAAAAAAACCGGCCAAATGCGAGTCGGAATCGTGCACAAAGATTTCCGTACCAATATATTTAAATCGACCAAAAATCATGTTTGTTGTATGGAGCCCCACTTAAATAATTTTTCTTATTCTGTTTTTTTAGTTTTTATTGTTATAGCGGCAACAGAAATACATCAGCTGTGAACATTTCAACCGTCTATCACGGTTCATGAGAAACAGCCTGGTGACATACGAACAGACCGACAGCGGAGTGATTTATATGGTCCCGTTTCACCCTTTAGGTACGAAACCCCAAAAATCACTTCACTTCACATTTTTAATAAAAGCAAATCTTTGACCGAGATTGCGGTGCGACGGATGAATGAGATTTTGTTTATTATTTCATAGATATGCAGTTTTCCCACCATTTTCTTCTTTCACCGCCCAAGCACTTGGTGGAATTGTTTTGAAATGTCACGGGATATTCACAAACACGAAATCACGGACACAAAGCACACGCACATTCGAAACAAGTATTTGTAGATCAGATTATTTGTTGTCAACAATTGTTCTTGCGGGGATTGAGTTTGGCGCGTATTGGCAGCTGATTAGGTTATAACTTAAACGATGGCTATAGAGCCATATATTAACATATCGTGGATAGCCACGCAGTTAAACTTTAAAAAAAAGAAAAAGATTTTTTTGTTTTTGTAATAAATAAATAAATCTCAGGACACATTTTTTACAAAATTCTCTAGTGGTTAAAAAAAATACACAATACACAATATACATATACAAATAGTAGAAAAACACTATGTTCATCACACAACATTTTTTAAATATTGGGGATCGATTCCGCTCTGGCGTAAGAGCCTGTCTCTTACGCCAGAGCATCACTCACATCAGAAATATATCATGTGTGCAAATTTCAACTGTCCAACTATCACGGTTCACGAGACGAGCCTTGTGCCAGACGGACAGACAGACAGACAGCGGAGTTTTAGCGGGTTCAGTTTTACCCTTTAGTTATAGAACCCTAAAAAGCTGGTTATATTTTCTGTACTATTGAACCTTGCGCGAAAATAAATAGATATTCTAAGACAAGGAAGAATGAATTAGTCAAGGCTTATTCATAATTAAATATAAACATGAAAGGACAGAAGGAACAGGTAGTTTTCTAAATACCCAATTCGTTTTAGAGGTAAGCAGTGGTTCAGACCTCCTGGCTCACCTATTAGAGTTTTTGATATAGGTACTCCATGCGAATGCATTGATTATTTGTAAACAGTTAAATAAAGAAAAAATATATATACCTAGTACATTTAAATCCAGGGTTTGTTTTTCTACGACAAAAAATCGGAAGCTAAAGCAAATCTATGTCACTAAATAAAAGTCGCTAAATAAAATATTGATAACATTAGCCGTCTCTATATACCCCTAGAAGGTTGAAAGATTTGAACGCTTCTATATTGTTTACTAACTTCCGTTCGTAGCTCGTTGAAGTCTTTTCCATGTATCCATTTTCTAACGGATTTCCTGCGAAAATGAAGAGCACACTTCGATTTCCACTTGCGCTGTGCATCGAATGACTAATCAAACGACATATGGAGAAGTTATTGAGTACTATTTGTAATTTGATGAGAATATCTTAAAATATATAACGTAAACGTATAAATAATGGTTTCAGCAATTTCAAGAAACCTATGTCAGGTTTCTTATGATTTGGTTTAAATTGTACACGATCTGCGAATCAAATATCTATTTGGTTTTTAATCTTATAACAATCAATTTAACATTTTGTAAATTAACTTGGGATGGTGTACAAATTGAGAATTACTAATTCAGTGATTACATCAAAGTTAAGTTAAGTTACTAACCGCAAAGTACATTTAATTAAAAACGTAGAACCCGTTTAGATAAAAATTAGTAATAAAAAAAGAATGAAGATGGTGTAAGCAATATTTTTTATATAATTTTACGATTCGCAATTAAAAGCGCGCCGTGAAAACGAAATATTGCTTTTGTAAAATAGCCGGTTCGCTGGTGTGTGAGAATCGACTGTGTGCTAATTGAGTTAGGGTCGCAATTGCTACATCGTGCGCGCGAGAATGGCCCGAGTTGGTAGAATTTACTTTCTCCGGCGGACGATTTAGTTCGGAATGCCTCCATGTACTGGCCGCGCCGCTTCTTCTACAATCCGTGGCAAAGATTAAACGCCACAGATTCGACAAGTGACAATTCGAACGGTCCGAAATAATTCGGAGAAATAACTCCACTCAACTGGATTATTATACTGAACAGAGTACCTTTTTTGTGGGAAGGAAGCAAGTGAGCTGGCGGTTCACCTGATGTTAAGTAATAACCGCCGCCCATGGACGTTTGCAACAGCTTTAGGGTTGCAGATACTTTGCGACCTTTTAATGAAGTGGGTTTGATTTTTTTTTTAATTAGATCAATAAATTCTAGCCTATTTTTAACATACGTATAATGTTTTTTTTTAAAACGGCATCATTTTAAACCAACATTTCACTTGAATACATAACCAACCTCTATCCGTTAGTTCATTTCTATTTCATAAAGCACATCTCAAACCCGTAAGATTTGACTGTATAGATCAAAATCTAAAACGTTAGTTTGACGTTTGACGATAAACGTCACATTTCCTCGGAGAGGCGACGGCGGGCGCTCCACAAACTGGCGCGCCGGGATCGTAGTGCACCTGTCGGAGTGTAAAGCCTCTGTGGCGGGCGAGGCCGGCGGCGGTAAACAATCGCGGGCAGTCCACGGCCGGCCCCCGCGCGAGGCGCTCGCCACGACCGCGCTAATGATCCGGTGTACCGTACGCCGACAGGTGTTCATGAGCAAATTCTGCACCGCGAGTTCCCAAAACAAAAGGCCGTAGACGAGGTCCGTTCTGGTTTGTTCCCACCGCGGCGTTCCAATTTCGAAAAGCGAGCGAATTTACCGTTGCCGTTCGCGCTCGTGTCTTTTTTTCTTTTCTCTCTCCGTTAAGCGCGTGTGCCAGTGGTATTGTGTTCTGTGAGGTCGCGTGGTGCGTTCTGTCGGCAGCGTCCGTCCGGAGATTGCCACCAGTTGTGTATTTTGTGTGCGGCACGGCAAAAAGTCGGCTCGTACACCGGCCCGATTGCTCCGTTCAGCATCAAGTTAAAATCTAACTTTACTTGTCACGTTTTAAGCACTCTGGTGCAAAAAATCCGTTTTCATATATAGGTTTTTATTTGAGCCAATTCATCATTTTCTTTTACTATAACAAAGAGAGGTTGAAAGCATACGAGGAAACAAATGCTTAAAACCAGTACAAATTGATACATCAAGATGATGTAACGTAGTACTTTACCAATGACTTAAATTATTAGACTTAAAAATGACCTATGTTATCGAATTATAGTTCAAGTTTTCAAACATTTATGGGGTGTAAAGAGACTGGTAATATTGTCCACATTAAATTAAACACACTATACGTACTCTCATCGAAGATTTTTGCCTGTACAAATTCAAAATAATTATTGTTGCCACTCGTGATTTGAACTTGTGACCTAGTCGCATTAGCGTCCACGCTAATAGACCATTGCTGCGAAAAAATATTAAGGAGAATTACAATTCGACGTACAGAAATAATTGTATAGAGATCGTTTTATGTAAAACTGTTTAAAACATAATAGAATATCTATCACATTTTTAAAGATTTTTTTTATATTTTATGTTGGCGGCGTTAAACAGAATTGCAATTATTTACGGTCTCTATGTTAATGTTTGGCAAAAATTGTTTATAGTAAGATTAAATTTTTTTTATTTGTAATGTTGCATATAAATGCAGAAAATAGCATAATAAAAAATTAGATACATATTTATTAAAATATGTACCTATGCCTTTTTAATATTTATAGCAAATCGTAGGAGAATAACAAATCAACTAGGAAATAGGTACCGTACATACGTAGGCGGGATGATAAGTAACTAGCCATTGCTATTTAAAAAGTTAAAATTAAAAAAATATAAATGTCATTTTTAAATTCGTATCTCTGGCCACCTGTGTTCTAAATTTGAATTAGGTGGCGTGAAAATTTTATTGTTTTTTTGTCATTTGAAAATATATTTCGTCAACTATTTTCAAAATGGATAAAATTGAACAAAGAGCGGTGATAAAGTTTCTTCATATGAAGGGGATGAAGGCGAAAGATATCTATGACGAGTTAAAGAATGTTTTGGGTGAATATGCTCTTTCTTATGCCACAGTAAAAAACTGGGTGGCTGAGTTTAAACGCGGTCGTACATGTGTCCAAGATGAAGCCCGCCCCGGACGTCCAAAAAGCGTTACGACTCCGGAAATGGTCGTGAAAGTACATGATATGGTTTTAGCAGATCGATGATTGAAGTTATCTGAAATAGCTGACACTACAGGTATCTCAAAAGAACGGGTACATCATATCCTAAGTGAGGAATTAAATATGAAAAAGTTATCGGCCCGTTGGGTGCCGCGATTGCTTACGCACGATCAAAAAAGGATTCGGGTGCAAAACTCAAAAGAATGTCTGGACCGTTTTCAGAGTAATAAGGCCGATTTTTTACGTCGATTTGTAACAACAGATGAAACATGGGTTCATCATTACACGCCAGAATCAAAAATTCAATCAAAACAATGGACTCAATCGGGATGCCCGGCTCCAAAAAAAGCCATGGCTGTAAAGTCGGCTGGAAAAGTGATGGGTTCCGTCTTTTGGGATGCAGATGGGATTTTGATGATAGATTACCTTGCTAAAGGTCAAACAATTAATGGTGAATACTACGCTAATCTTCTTGATAAGCTTCATCAATGTATTCAGCAAAAACGACCAGGTTTGGTGAAAAAAAAAACATCTTCCACCAAGACAACGCTAGGGTTCACACATGTGTTAAAGCTATGGCAAAAATCAACGAATTGAAGTATGATTTGCTGCCTCACCCACCTTATTCGCCTGATCTAGCGCCATCAGACTTCCACTTATTCCCTAAGCTCAAAACTTTTTTGGGCGGCAGAAATTTGCCACAAATGATGAAGTAATAGCCGCCGTAGAGGAGTATTTTGCAGGCCTCGAAAGAAATCATTTTCTGGAAGGCATTACTGCTTTAGAACGAAGATGGAATAAGTGTGTAGCGGTTCACGGAGAGTATGTCGAAAAATAAAATTAATTTTATCACGGAAAGTTAAGTGTTTTCTTATTAGGCTAGTTACTTATCATCCCGCCCTCGTATTACAAGGATAATAACGAGACTACAATGACAGAATAATTAATTTATTACATTTCAGGCTTAATGTGTAAGGGTATTAATACAGTAAAAAAATGTCTGCTGATCTTATTTCAACTAGCGCGCACTCATTAGAAATTTTACTATTTTCGATTTTGAATTTCGAACTATCTTTCAATTAAAAAAAATAACCCAAAAAAACATTTTCTACGCCGTCTTGAGAGAAAACGAGAGTTATTATGTTATCGCTTACTCTTATTATGTAAAATAAAAAAATGCATTTAGTTACGTACCACTCAGGTAGGTCGTTTATACTTGGGTACACACGCGCATAGAAGAATAGATACAAGTGAAGTTAAGACTACATTATAAAAGGTAGAGATTGCAATTAATTTCATTTTAAATGTCAACTTTTTTTTTTATTGTGAAAACTTGTCAAACGAGCAGACGGTTCACCTGATGGTAAGTGCATACCGCCACCCATGGACATCTGCTACACCCGAGGGTTACAGATGCGTTGACAACCTTTATAAAATTGGGCTCCGGCTACCTCACTCACCAGACGAAACGCGAAAGTATTTGTCATACTTCCACTTTACGCTGGTCTTCTATGCGGTCGTGGTACTTACCCGGGCGGGCCTGCCCATTCGTGCAACAGCCGAGGCTGCTGCGTGGCCCTACTAACATGCCTACGCGATGACAAAATTTAAATATAGTAAGTTAATTTGCGCAGGAACATTGCTTTTTAATGCTCCAGTTCACCTTCGCCTAAGCGGTGTGGGCAAAACGACATGCCGACTTATTGTCCTTACAATAGAAATGTTGTAGGCATAAAGGACGGATTCTGGTCGTGTTACATATTAAACAATAGTCGTGTACACTTTGCAATCAAATCAATTGAAATAATAAAGAATAGAACTATAATGGATGGTACTGGTTAATTGTAAAAACGAAATGAAAAAAACGAAAATGAACAAAAAATAATCTTTAAATATTAATTTGTTAAATATGTTCATCAATAACAAGTTGTATATCATGAAAACGTCTTTGAATAAAAAGTAAAGTCAAAAAATAAGCCTATAAATGTCTGCTGGGCAGCGCCCTCTTCCATACAGAAGGTATCAGGGCATAGTCCACCACGCGACCCCCACTGCGGATTGGCGGATTTCACATATCTTCAAAATGTTTTTTTTTTTCGTTATTACTTCAAAATATGCAGGTTTCTTCACGATGTTTTCGTACACCGTTGAGCACGTGATAAATCAGCATTTAAAATTACAATTTAATTGGTGCCGGCACCGGGGATCGAACTCAAGTTTCCTCGAGTATATTGAATTAAAATCGAGCGGCCGGACAATTAACTACCATTGCTGTGCTCTTTGAATAGATACGTATAATAAGAACGCCTTTTGGTAAATCTGTGTTAAGCAGTAACTAAGTACTGATGCGTCTCAATTAACTATAAGGGCATTTCCTATTATTGCTAGTTAATACCTATTTTACCATGCACGTAAAATAACAAATTGTTGTGACTTTATTAACGCAGATTAAAAAGAAAATCGTCTGACTCGTGTCAAACACAAATACAGGCACCTGCTTTGTGCGAATTTTCATTCATTCAACATTACGAGTCATTGAGTACGTATCGTGCGTGTATTAAGAACAAAGTAAAAGTAGTTTTATTGAGCAGCCCCGGTCATCCCACGTTTAGCCCACGCCTTTACATAAATTATCAGTGGACCGTTGGCCAATAGTGACCAAAATGTTCACCCACTGCTCTCTCGGTAATACTATATCGGAATCGCTTATATTTGGCGCCGAAGTAGTAAATTTTACGTAAGCTTGAGTCATAAAAGAATATAGATTATACAAAATATAGATAACATAGACGTGCAGGTGGATTTATATTGATATTTTCGTTTTAATTATGCTATGATTTAATTTTGATAATTGGAATGGTAGTTTGAAGTTATCTGAAGTGCTATTTAAATAGTTAGCAAGACAAGAATACGGCATTAAAAAAAAAATCTTAGTAAAAATATAACATATACCTAGTTCATACTATACAAACAGCACAGTCTGTCACACCAGAAACTGAAAACTGAGTCGAATCTTATGTTTAACTCTTAGTTGAGGAGAATATAACAGGTTGGGGAAAATGTTTCTTCGCATTTTATATAAAAATTGAAAACATTTTTCAATAAAGTTTATTTACATTTAACTAAAGTATGTAGGTGCCATTTTGTTCGATAACTAGTACCAGTAGTAGTAGTAGGGACATGATGCTATAGAAATTCTGGGGCTTATGATAAAAAAACCGCGACAAGTGGTTTTGGCAGTCCTCTCGTGATGTTAACCTGACACTACCTAAAGAATTCTGAAGATCCCGAAACAAGTGGAAATCTGAAGGGGAAAGGTCAGGACTATACGGCGGATGCATTAACACCTCCCAGAGAAACTCTCCTAATTTTTGCTGAGTGCCTAAACATGTGTGAGGTCTAGCGTTATCATGAAGAAAAACCGCACCATTGTTGATCAATTCCGGCCGCTTTCTCTCAACTTCTTGCTTTAATCTTATCAGTTTTTCGCAGTAGAGTTCAGAATCAATGGTCCTGCTTGGCGGTAACAGCTCATAATGAATAATACCCTTCC